GTTCAAGACCATCCTCAACCAAGAAAATTCATTGGGTCAGTTTCTCAGCCCAAACACATTTGGGGAAAAAATGGTAAAGGGAGTGCTCTGTATGCCACCTTCAGCTCCTGGAGGAAAGACAGGATGTAAAATTAATTTGATACAGGTAAGGGCATATGGAAATTTTGTGGCTGTGTACATCAAGGACATAAATGTCAAGCAAACTAGAAACTTCAAAAGTGTTAGACTTCAACACAGAATTGTTATGGGTAACATTATATATGTTATCACCACCACCAAGGTAGTACTGTATGTATGTATGTATGTATGTGTGTATGTATGTGTGTGTATGTGTGTGTGTGTATCTTAATATACATATCACATGAACAAAATATTCAATCTTAAGAGAGAGAAAGAAATGAGGGAGATATCAAAAGGAGAGAAGTCTGAATGTGTGAGGCTTGAAAATGCAGAAGCTCAGCTAGGATATCCACTACAGGTCAGAAACTATATCACCAACTCCAAGAGGTTTCCATCATGGTAAATAAACATTAACAAGAAAAGTGTTAGAGAAAAGAGAAAGGCTTTTGTTGACTCAGGGTAGTATAAAGGAATCTAAACATTCACCAAAGAAAAGCATTGCAATGAGAAGCGTATTGCTGGTTTAATGAGTATCGACAATAAAACATGGTTAAAACTTCAAAAGATTTAGAACAGTTGGAACACTGAATGAGAAGAAAAGGAGGATAAGGAGATTTCAAAGAAACTAAAATAATTATTTGTCTCTTTTTGTCATAGAAGGTATAAGGTAACTTCATTGTCATAGAAAGTGTAAGGCAAATCTACTGCCTGAATTGATAATCTTAGGGAATCTGAGCTTTATAGTAGAGACAAAGTTCTAGAAACTTTCTTATGACTACAAACTGTTTTTTTTTTTAAGTGGCCTGTCATGATGATTGGAAGTGTGGCAGCTGATATAATGACATCACTAGAGTAGGGTGATCCATAATTTTGGGCTCTATTTTATTGGGTTGGCAGGTTTTAAGGGAAAAACTGTTTTAAACCTTAATTTCCCACCATGAAGAAAATTACTCTGTTTTCCAGGTGTTTGGGAGAAAATTTTTTTTAAAAAAACCCAGAAAAGAACCAGAAACATTGATCCTACTCACTCCAGGGTGATCTGTGTGTTCTGGCAAAAGAGGTGCTGTAACCTGTGAAGCACCAGGTTGTACAGCTATACTCAGTGCCTATTCACCACTGAAAACAAGTAAATAGCAAGTCCAGATGAGACTATTTTATACTCGAACTATTTAAGAGTTCTAAAAGAACTCCAGTGTGAAATTGCTGATCTTCTAACAATAATAAAAAAACTACATGGTGCTATATCAGAAGACTCAAATATTATAACACAATTATTTTAAAAGATCTCTGGGAGATTCAGGAAAATACAGCTTAATATCTGCCCTGGGTGGTTTGGTAAAGCATTATTCAAAATAAAATTATTAGATAGATCTTGCCAAAGAAAAATTAACATGATTTCTGCAAAAGTAAGCCTTTTCTCACTACTCTTTTAGATGGTACTTTGAGTGTTTCAACCAATGTGTTCATAGGCTTCATCTAAACAAACTTAACTTCATGGAGTAAAAGAAGAGATTCTCTTATGGATGACTAGCTGATTACAGAACAGAGAGTTCAAACAAATGGCCAGTTTTTGCAATGGAAGGATACTAGTACTGGGATCCCCAGGACATGTCCAAAGCTGGCTGGGGAATTCTGGGAGTTGGTCCACACAGCTTAAAGTGGTCAAGGTCGAGAAACACTGCTTTGGAGTGTGCAGGAAAACCAACTAAACCAGCCAAGAGAGGTGACTGTCCAAGCTGTTCTTTAAAATCTCCAGAGATGGAGAACCACAGCCTCCATAGCCGACTATTCCACTGTTATAAAGATCTTACTGTCAGGAAGTTTTCCTTATATTTAAAGAAAATCTAGGTAACTGTAACTTATATCTATTATTTCTTGTCCTAGTTTCTGTGGACATGGGAAATAATTCTTGGCCATTTTCTCTATAGCTTTGCACTATGTACCTGAACACAGCATATCCCTTCTTGCTTACTTATGAATGGGGCATTTAATGTGAAACATTTGAAACTGTGAGAAATTTACATTTCTCGCTTTGAAGCCCAGAATCTTGATTTCCTGGAATTCCCTGAAAGCTTGCTGCAAGTTTCTGGTAAGTTAGAAAACAAATACCAGTGGTGGGCCTTTTCAGCTGACATGGCTTTCAAATCTTTCTTATAATTCTTGTACATATAAAACTACTTTCACTCATCATTGGTAGCCATATTTCTTTCCAAGTTCTTGATCCCCAAAGTATATATTCCTCAAGCTAGATAGTACAACCATGAAGATTGTACAAAATATTTAAACACATGTTATGGTTCTAAAATAATTGGAATAGTTTATTTCTGTTGCAAGCATTGGGTTTGGTGGTTGTAGAAGCCAATCGTTTTTGAGACAAAAATTCAGCTGCCTTATGTGGGAATAATCTATGGAGAATTGGCTATAAACAGAGAGAGAGAGCGAGGGGGGGGGATTTGATTGTTTCTACTGAAAGAACTATTTTCTTCTCTATTTGTTAGAGAACATTGGTTTATGTACGAACAAATTCATTTTATGCCCTGGCCATGGTACTGAAAGAAGGAGTTTCGTGGGATTTATTATTTTGGTAGCTTTTTTCAGAAGTCTGTCCACAGCCCTTGTACATAATCTGTTGTATTTATTAGCAGACACCATGGGGTGTGTGTGTGTCGGGGGGGGGAGAGGAATGAAAAAGAAGCAACATCTTCAAATATTCTGATTCTGCCCGGGTATAACTTTTGCACTCTAACAGGGTGCTGAAAGAGGGAGACTTTGTAAATATTGTGGGCGAAGTTCTAATGCTGCTAATGTAATTAAATAAAGAGAACTCTGATCTGAAACACACTTTGAATCCATATTATGTGCTATATATGTCATGTTTATGCAGCATAATCCAAAAGTGCATCAGGAACTCAACATCTGTTTTTCAGGACAGACAGAATTCTTGCTAAGCAATTCAAAGAAATACACACACACACACACGTCATCCCTACCAATGTGTGTGCGGAGGGGGGAGGGTCTGTCAGAAGGCAGTGGTGCATGTTATGTACTGTCTCTTTAATTCTTCAATCTGTTGTCTGTGGAGCCCCATGAATTCTGACAGAGGTGGGGCTAATTCTGGATTAGTTGTAGAAAAGCATGTATGAGTAGCTCCTTAACTGTTTCCTTCCCAGACACAGAGACAAAGACATAAAGAAAACCTTTGAACTGAGGTGTCTTATAATGGAAGAAAAAGAGACAAAGGCACTCTGAATGAAAGGAAGAGAAAGACTGAGGTGGTTTTGGAAGCTCAGGAAATGCAAAACAGCCCTTATGAATCACGGGTCTAAAGGTTTCTCTCGTGCCCGCTGGCCCCTTCCCCCCAAAGGATGATCCTATCATGGGAGGCAACTGACCCTATGCATAACTCAGCTCCCATATATTACGAATCCCAGGGCAGTGGCTGGTGTATGCTGCATATGTATGGCTGTGCAAAACAAAGGTCAGGCATGAAGCATGCAGGATACCCAAAGGGAAGTGCCTCTGCCTTCGACATTTGTAACAAAATCCCTGAACCGAACAGCACCAAGAACAGATTTTTGGGTCCAAGAAATAGCCTGGCACCTACGAGTGCTGCAGTGTCAGAAATAAAGGGTTGGTTGGGGACAGTTAGACCTTTTCACAAGTATATACAGGAACTCGGGTCCTAACATGCCTGCCTCTATTCCTTTACCTGCAAACGATTCATTTTTCTATGCTGCTCTCTCTCTCTCCCCATTCATTCAGGAGCCTAAAGAAACAAGCTGTAAAACAAAGGCCTCTCCATATACATCATGCAAATCTGACCCCCAAACCAGACAGAGACAGATTTGCTCCTTTCCTCCCGTGTTTGGCAAATATTGTTGCAATGGCAGAAATGCAGAGACCAAACATACACATTTGCTTCGACTCCCTCTCTCCAACTGTTCCCCCAGGAAAAGCAGCCAGCTTCCCCCCTGCCCCCAGCCTCATAATCTTAACATCCCAGAATGTGCAGGAAATCATATTGGCTAGCAACCCCTTCTTTGGAGTCCAATGAAGCATTTTACCTTCTGTGAGCTGAACGATTGGGTCCAATGATACAAAACCAGTCTGTCCTTGGACCTGAAGGCAGGGTGTGTCGGATCCTGGTTCTCCTCAACCTCCATGGATTTGCCTGCATCATTCTCCAGCGCTGAAATGGGCCACCAGCTGCAGTTGGTGGGAGTAACATTGTTGGGAGTCGCCATGACAGCCCCAGATTATGGAAGAAGAGAAGAAAAAGAAAGCTGCAGCTGCTGTACAGTCAGAGCATCAGACGGGCTCATAGAAATACATTTGTGGCTGGAGCCAAGAGGGTGGAATTTCATTACTCTGTCTGGGTTGGCATAGGGAGCCCAGGTCAGCAGGATCCAAAGCAGCACTGCTTTGACAAGAAAAGAAGGAGTATAGCTGGGCTCTCTAAGCTCCTATACAACCATGCAAAGGGTGCAGTGAAAGAACACTGATGCGCTGCATTGTGCCAATCACAGACACAATAGACTCTCTGTGCCACCTGGCGACAGACGAAGGAGTCAGCACACAACTGGAGAGAGTGCATTTTGTAAGCCTCCTTGATCAGAATGACTTGTGGGGGGTATAAGTTAAAATGTCTGAATAATCAGGTGTCCAGATAGATGAAACTGATGGAAATGAAGGATATCGCTCTACTGTTATGACCAGATCCAGAATTCTGATGTCCAGTCCTAAAGACTGATTATTCAGATTATGAATACTTTCTGCTTAATGTGCAGATTATGCTGTCTGGCTAAGTTGCAATGTGATTTTGGAACATTTTTTTTAATTTTCAGATTTCAAGCTGTGTGTAGGAAACATGGGGACTCCAGATGCATGAACTTATATGTAGGTACTTCTCAACAATATTTTCTCAACAATTGCCAGTCATGAAAGCTAAATGGAATCTCCATGCTTAGATGCAATGTATCATGAGTTGGAGGAGGAGAAGAAAGAACTAAGAATAGTTATTACTTTTATATCATGCTTGAAAGCTTCTGGAGCCATCTGACTCAATGCTTTTAGACTGACTTTGATCTTATATAACAAGCCAAATAATTCATATTATTGTGATAAATACTAACTGCATTTGAGTCATAGTTAAATACATGAATCAAAGTTGACAATCTAGCCTTTAAAAAACATATCACTCTCAAGTAAGGAAACTTCTAAAAGGGAGGGAAAAAACACCACCACCACCACCAAATACTGGGCTAGTGGAGACTTCCTAACTTAGAGCTCCTCTCATTACTAGAAATACTGTCAGTGATCATACTTGTCTGGGGAGGATGGGAGTTGTAGTCCAATATGGCTGGACTGATCAGAGAGATAATCCAGGGCTTAGAGATGTTCAGCAAGCTTTATTTATTTAACCATGTTTATTTACTATGCTCAGCCAAAGCAACAAAATGAAAACAATACAGTAGAGCATCACATTATAAAATATATTAAAGACAGCTCAGCATTAAAATTGCATAGGATAATATTCCATGAAGTTAAAGCTTGAGTATTAAAAAGAGTCTGAGTGTTTCTCTCTCTCTGATCAATCCATGTCTTATTTCAGATGGAGAATGGAAAGCCTTCAGGGTCTGGTCTCAACAACCAATCTTAAAGTCTGCTTAATTATCCTGGTGATCCCAAGTTATTTAGGATTTTTATTTATGTATTTATTTGTTTGTTTGTTTGTTTGTGCTTTTGAATCAGTCTTGACTCCTGGAGACTGCCTGGACAAGTCCCTGCAGTTTTCTTGGCAAGATTTCGGAAGTGGCTTGCCATTGCGTGCTTTCTGAGGCTGAGAGAAAGTGGCTGGCCCAAGGTCACCCAACTGGCTTTGTGCCTAAGGCAGGACTAGAACTCATGGTCTCCTGGTTTCTAGCCTGATGCCTTAACCAAGCCACCAAACTGGCTCTCTGTTTAGGACATTAATTTGTGATATGCATTTTTCTTAAAGAACAATTGTCTAACCTGGCATTATCCTCAGAAATTGTTAGTCTTTACCATCCATCTATTGGCCACAAACCAGGAGAATTACAATGGGGCCTACAGCTTATGGGGAAAGTATATGCTTCACACATACTCATGTGGACTGCCAGGTATCCCAAGTTAAAAGATATCCTGGTTAATCAAGAAATTGTGATGAGAAAGACTCAAGACTCTGAAGAGCTGCTGCCAGCCAGTATGCACAATGGATAAAAACATAAATAATATAAACTAACTTTCTCTGTGTGACTCCAACATACATACATACACATACAAATAGAAAGCTTTGAATAGATAACTGATCAGCCTAAGCCTTTGGATCTACTCTACCCTGTCCACTGCCAGGCATCAGAATGGTTGCTTTCTAGAGTTGGCAGCCCGCTGCTGCTGAGGACAGAATCTTTTTGAAGCAAAAGAATGATATGGGCAAGGGAGAGAAGGCTAGAAAATCTGACCTGGGAGGCTAAACCCTTAATCCAAAGGGAACAAGATCAGCCACAAGGAGAATCTACTCCAAATATCATACAAAGACCTAAGCCCAAAATTTGGATGTTCATAGCTGTCTCCCCACTAGCTACTCACTGAAACTCATTTCTTGTCTCAGGATCCATACCAAGAGCTTCTTTACTCTGATGATATTTCTCTTTGCTGGTGTTGTCTTTTTCTTCATCCATCACTTACCAAGTCTTCACATTCCCAAGTCCAAGAATACAGAAACAGCAAGTCGACTGAATTCTTCTGCAGTAGGAGGAATAAGGATCCACATTGGTGGAAGGGCACTAGTCAAGGCACCTTCCTCCAAAGCATCATAAAACCTAATGTCTATCAAATGGGTGAATTTGACATTCCTGTTCTTTTCTGGTCTTCAAGATGATGTTGAGTCCTGAGCACACAGACTGCCAGATTTTATATCCTGCAATTCTTCCAAGAACTCAAAGCATCATGCACACCTTCCCCCGAATCACATGTAATTCCCCCAGTAACCTTTGGGGGCAGAGGTTAGGCTAAGGTAGCATTTTTTATGCCCTTCAGATGTATAGGCTAATTCCCAGAATTCTCAGCAACAGTCATGCTGGCTGGGGAATTCTGGAAGTTGAAGCCCATACATCTGACTTCAACTTCCAGCCTTCCCCATTATGTTATGCCTCCAGTTTTGTTTGTTTCAGAATGACAAATTGTAATGGGGAACAAGACATAGCTCTTCACTCAGTGTGTTGGTTCCTCTGTGTTCCTCAAATTACTGTGAGGAATAAATCATGCTGTTCTACTGCTATACCATTTCACACAGAGTGAAACTAGTCAGGATGTGTTCTGTGACTATAAAAGAAAAATGACATTTCCAGATGGCAGTTGCAAAGAACTCCAAGATCAAATCAAAATTTTTAAGACTAAAATTTTCCCCTGCAGTATCTACTATATTGAAAATCTTCTCTTCCAAATATGCAGCCTTGTTCATGAGCATGGAATAGGATTATCCTATTTTGAATTCCTGCACAGGGACAGGGTGCAATCTAAGATTTAAAAAGCTGTAATCAAGAAACATTTTTAAAGTCCTGCTACTCACAGCAAGTTTTGTGGCTTTAATAAAATGGCAAACTATACAGTAGCTGCATAGTCATAAATGCCTCAGGCTTTTCCATAAGGATCCATGCAACTGTACAGAATAAGGCTGTGTAAGGATTGCCTAACCCAGGGATCACCAAACTCTTCAGCTTGTCAGCTGCTTCATGAAGTTTCAGATTATTCATTGACCCCCATTTATTATATGAAAATAATTTAATAAATACTACTTTAACTAATAGTACTATGAATAATA